GTAGGGCTACATTAGTTGAGGTTCGCAGAGTCAGTCTCATCGGTACTACATAGGGTTTTCCTCCTGCATTTCGGAGGATAATCGATCGTCTTTTAAAATCCAGATTGGCTCGTAGGGCCACCAAAGCGGGAAGAAAAAAAAAACGTCGTAGGTATTAACATCCAGGACCAAGACGTCGCCCAAAGCGTGCACTTTCCCTAATCGAAAGGCAATATTAGTCATTCATCCCACCATTTTAATTTTTTCTTCGTCCACTGAGACGAGCTGATCTTTTTCTGTCAGCATGATCAGATCGTTCTTTCTCCCTGCTCTTTCAACTACTCGCAGCGAGATAACCAAAACAGCAATTCCTGAGTCGATGATAGCATTGTATGAAATTCCCCAAACTTCAATGTCACATTCCATGGATTTCCATCATGAGATGGGTTTAATCCGTAGGAAGTGGTCATCTTTCAGTATCAGCCCTATGCGTATGGGATCGGAAGTGCTTGCCGCATTTTCATCCGGGGTGGGTCCCTTCGCTTTTGTGTTCGTTGTTCGGGCAAGAGCGAATCGTTTCCGATTGGCTTTGCAGTGTTGCAACATTCGTTCGTTAGCCTGTTCGGATATAGAAAGCAAATGACCGATTGGAAGAGGAATCCGATGGTCTAATGCTCGAACGATGTTCAAAACATCGATCTCGCCAGTGACGAAGGTGGGTCCTCCCGACTCCATCTCTCCTGGAGAAGGTCGCCACTCCGCCACCTCTTTCTGTTCTGGCGCAGGTCTGATTGTTCCAATCATTCCTAGCCCTGGATATCCAAGCGATATATATTGATCCAACGGAATGAGCTCGACAACCTCTTCCATAGTAGCTAACGCACTACCTCCGCCCTCCATTTCTTCCATCAGGGCTCCTACCCGTCCTCGTCAGTTAGCGATGGGAGCCGCAGCCATCCGAGCGACCCCGCCCCTCGAGTGTGGGGGTCGATGGGGACAATCCTGAGCCAGATGCCCAGGTTGATGGCATGCGTAACAGACGTTCAGATTGCTCGCGGCCCCTCCGAGAATGGGTGTCGAGGCCAATCCTTGTGGGATTGGGGCGGCGCGTACTGCGATGGGTCGCATATTCCTCATCATAGCCTCCAAGCAAGCATTATGCTCTCGTTGTTCCTTTTTGCTTTCCTGGATTAGGCTAATTAGCATTTTGGTCAGTTCCAAAATGGCGGTCAATTCATTCGACCTTGCAGGGTTCCCAATCGGTGGCGGGGGTGCCGTCATTACAGGTGCCGGTATCACAGGGACAGGGACGCTTGTGATCACACTCGGGGCCGATCGTTTAGAGGCTATCTGTTCCAGATAGGTAACAGGGCCTGATACGAACCCCATGTTTTCGAACTTGCTTTGCAACGCTGCCAACTCAGCTTTTGCCCTTGCGAGTTCGGACGAGTCTCCTTCCTTAGGATAGTCTTCTCCTTCTAGGAAACTTGCCGTGAACTTCCGCTCCATTTCCTCTGCAGCCGCCATAATCTGTTGCAGCGTGTGATTGATGGGGGAGATTCTCAACTGTTTTCGCAGTTTCGCCCTTATCGTTCGGCTGCGAAGTACATCGATAAACAGATCTCTCCCTACTTGCTCGCCCCGCTCAATTTTCACAAACATTCGGTAGAACCGGTTTCGATATTCTGCAATGGACTCGAGAGGTTTTTGAACTCGGTCCTTGATCATGAAGAGCGCTTGCTCTGGATGAACATAATTAAATCGATTCAAAAAATCTCGCTCGAAAGTCGGGAGATCCACCCATACATAAGTGTTGAACCAATGACGAGCGTCCCCTCCTAATCGGGCGAGAATATTCACCTGAGCTTCGTTATCGTCATACTGCTGCGCCCGGAGCGTGGCCAACCATGCTCCAGCGAGATGATGTGCCGGGTCAAACAAATAGAGATCAGGTGGCGTCATGGGAGTGCTTGTGGGGCGGGTTGATTAGGATTTTGTTGTTGATTCGGATTCTGTGGATTAACATTCATGTTGGCTACCCGTCGATTAGCCGGTCTACTCCTGGTGATGACGGGGTGGCGTCTATGTGCGTTCCGGGGTTGAGGTCGCCCTCGGTTAGCCAGATCGCTCAATTATCATGCTGTTACTCCTTACAATTCGGCCACGTGTCGGGCTCCGAGACCAACCTCACGCCCGACGCGACTTCCTGATCGGAGTAGGATGTGGGCCTGGAAGTGCGAAAAGGGGTGTGCCAAGGATTTTTGGGAAAGTGGGGGTGGAGTCCCAGGTCAGAACTGAGATCTCCTGTGGCAGAGTTTTTCGGGGGCACGAGTGCAATTTGGTTGAGAGGACGGACCGCTTCCGGTCGGAAGGCAGATGGCATGCACGAATCATTCAAGGCCGTTCGAACCGTCTGTTTTGATGACGACGTTTCGACGAGAGGTCCATCCCGGGTGGGTGTGATTCTGATGAGTTAGGCCGTTGGTTGTCGCCACGTGGCATCGGTCGTCGCACCTTCGGGTGAGGCCCTCGGGTTTTCGAGGCTCTCTGGTTACCGCGTCGCTGACAATTTCCGCAAGGCGTGCGGGGCCAGTATGGGGCTATGGCGTTCCACGGGACCACAGTGAGTTGATGATACTGGAGAAGAAGACGGAAGGGAGGGAAGTTAGTGGAAATACCGACAAAACCGGGGGAAATGAAGTAGTGCATGTGGTAAGAAGTGGGGAAATCAGGGCACCGCGGATCGCTGGTTGTGGCACAATGGAACTCCCTAGGACACAGTCGATTTTCGGTTAAACAGGGGAACCTCTGTCGGAGGCACTCTTCTATCCAAGGGGTGAAGTACTTCGGATTCCACAACGAATCTGAGTCCCTGGAGTGTGTTATTTTGTCATTGCGAAGCCGCGGAATTCCTTAGCGTGTGGTTGCCCGATAGGGAAATTTCCAAGCTCGGCGTTGCGGGTCCCGATATTCGACGATTGCGATCACCATGTGTGAATACGTATAGACTGAACGAATTGAATCGCACTTACACGTGTTCACACGGGATGATCGCTTCGTTGCAGACGTAGAATGGCCGCCGGACACACCCAATCTGTCACTCTTCCCACAATCGTTAGCCCTTTCATGCGTGGGTGGTTACAAATGGACGTGCGTGGACACGCGTAAATGCGCGGATCAGATCGCGCTTACACGCATCCCCGCGAGTTTCTGGACAGACAACTACCCAATCGTCTAATCATTCTATGCACGCAACCTTTCCTGATCATGCAAGGTGCTACTACACATTCGCGGTAACAATAGTGGATCAAAAAAGACAAACAACAATAGTGAGGATTACACGAACTTTCCTACTATGCTCATGAGTGTATCAAAACGACAAGCAACAACAAAGTTTAAGCATAGGAAAAGCAAAGAGTCATAACATCCATTCATTCAGCATAACACGCAGTATCCGAGATTTGAAATTGCAAAAACAAGTGTGGGCCGAAACCAAGTCAAGATTTCGAAAGACAAAGGAAAAACAGACGCACCGCCCGAGATCGAGATCAAAATTTATATACAAAGGCGGGGAGGGAGAAAAGACAAAGAAACAGCGAATCCACGTCCATCAACCTCAACTCCCTCTTTCTCTCTCTCTTTCTCTCTTCGATGTGGACAATCCATCGTCACGCACCAACCCACGAAGTTGTCACCCCGCTTAGTCCTCCCACACCCGCCAGGTTCGCTCGCGCCCACAGTCCGTCGTGGCCCGCGTCAACCCCGCGTGTTCGGCACCAGCTCGTCGGGTCGCCCGACTCCCACTTCACTCACCTCTTACTTCGCTCGTGAGCCAACCCTCACTAATCGCGCTACCCCGAGCTTCCATTAGCTGGTTAAGAGAGCTATCTAATCGCGCAGCCGGAATTTATAGCGTGCATGCATGCGCGAAAAACACAGAATTGCAAGGACTTAGAAAGAGGTCAGAGGAGGAAGCGCCTACGTTTTGCATGGCCAGACCGCGGCGTGGGGGACGTAGCCTCTCTCCACGCATCGATCCGATCATGTAGCCCGCGGGCTGCTAGACCAGCAAGAAGAAAGTGAAAGCGGGAAAAACGAAGTCCAAGAAGAAGATACAGTTGCAATGGCGCCCGCCCAAAATTACAGTTACACACACGATTAAGGGCGCCGACTAATCAGAGTTCCGTTGCAGTCGCAAAAAGAGGCGCGTATACAAAAAGCGTTGCGTAGTGAAAGAAAATCCTAATTATAAAATTCCTAAATTCCTACCTAGGGTAGAAAATGAAAACCACAATTTTCAAAAAGAAAATCCGAAATTCCAAGAGCCATCAGGACTTCGACACGATTTAAAAAGAAGATTAAAAAAGAACGAAGCAGAATTTCCCGCGCAGTCTCTGCGCCTAAAATCTACCAATAGAAACGAAAAAGAATGACGTTAACCAGAATTGTTCCCGTGCTCGACGCCAGCGCATCACCCATCAATCGTCCCCGGGACTTGCCCGGCCTTGAACCAGCCATCCGAAAGGAACCGACGCAAGAAGACGAAGAAGCGAGGACACCGATGCAATTTCCCATCCGTCCCTATCTCTCATAATTACCCATCCTTCCCAGCTTAGGACCCCTCGTCGCTACCGCGCAGAAAATCGCGCGGTGCAGAAATTGGTTCGTCACAGCGGAGCGTCTCTTCTTGTCTCTGGCGGCATCTCATGCACATGATCTCGAATGGCATACCTCTTTTCCGGAGCCAAGTGTTCGTTGGGATTGCATAATGTGATAGTAGCCAGAGTAGGCCTGAGAACTTCAGGTTGGGAAGAACTTGAAGTTGAGTCCACACTTTGCACACCTCCTTGTGTAATAGGGGACTGGGGAACTGCAACTGCTCAGCCATTCTAGAATAAATCTCCAGAATTTATGCCTTCAGAGAAGTCACCAGGACTCTATGGCCCATCTCTGATGTATATTGGGCCAGGCATTTCTGCTTGCCCTGTCCCAAATCCCAGATTATGCTCCCCGGGTCTAACCTGAGATCTGTGATTGCTGCACCCCCTTGAATCAGGATCGGGTCTTTCCCACCTCCCTCCTCACCCTGTCTCTTCGCTTGCAGCACCCTCACTGCAATTAAAGGGGTTGCTGTGCCCACTGCTATCTCCCCTCGACACTGCAGACGGTTTTCCTGTGGATCGGTAGACCTCAATCCCCACTGTGTGGCGCTCCAATCCTCGTCGTCCAGTTGGTCCTCCGGCCTAAGGAATTCCCCATGTTGTTCGGCCTTATACCACTGGCCTACCTTACCCCTCCCCTTCCTTCGCAACATCTCCACCCACTCCCCTGGAATGACATTCCTCAATTGTATCACTATGTCCTCTACGTTCCTTACTCTTCCTAATGTCTTCCTAATTATATTTACTTCCTTCCAGTCTGCAACTTCTTCCTCCCACAGATCACGAACTTGCCATATCCCCTTCTCTATCCATCGCCCGCCAAAGGAGGCTGCTTGCACTGATGCCAAGAATACGGATCCATCCGTCTGTTTGATGGCCTCGTTCTCGAACAACGGTTGAATGAGGACTTCATCTTTGATCTTTGGAACCTTGGTTTGGGCTGGACGGAGTTTCTTCCAAGCAATCCACCAGGCAAGGCCAATCACTAACTTCGGGCGCCGCTGCAGATAGGAGGTAACTTGCAGGAAGACCCATACATTCCCTGGTGCTGTAGAATGTACATCATTATTTCCAGCCAGCTTCTTTGATCCGCCTGTGTAGCTATCTTATATATCCATTTACCGATCAGGGCCAGGTTTTGTTTCTCTGGATCCACAACCCCCAAGCCACCTTGTTCCCTTGCCTGTGTTATCTTTCCCCAGGCTACCTTCGAGATGAACCCGCCCTGATCTTCAGCTTCGGGCTTCCACAGGTATCGAGCGGCCCCTGTCTTTATCCTTGCCAATGTGGCTCTTGAGATCAGTACCACTGCTGGCACGTACCATAAGATTGAGAAGATTGAGGTGGTGATCACCGTGGCCCTTCCCATGAGTGAGATGCCCTTGGCCTCCTTGCATTTCTGCAGCCTGGCTTCCACCTTGCCTGAAAGGATGCTATCTTGGGCGGGGCGACTGTTGGCAAGTGATACTTGGACGCCGAGGTACCGTTCGGAGTCAAATTCATAAATCCTCTTCATGGTCCAGTCCTCTGTTACTAGCTCATATTCTCGAAGCAAAAAGTAAACTGACTTGTCCTAGTTTACCTTTGCCTCCGAGAGAAATGAGTATTGGTCCATGAGTGTCTTAGTTGCTCCCATTGACTCCGTTATTGCCTCCGAGACCAGCAGCAGATCATCGACAATCGCCCCCACGACCACTTCCACCCCGTCTCGCAGTTGAAGTCCTCTGATGCAGGGGGTCACTCGTATGGCATTCAACAGGACTTCCATTTGAACCATAAACAACAGGGGGGCGAGGGGGCACCCCTGTCTTAGTGACCTTGACAAGTCAAACGTTTGGGAGCACATCCCATTCACCAAAATTGTTGCCTTTGATGAGCAGTACAATGTTGACACCTATTGTCGGAAGAGACTCCCAACCCCCATGTGTTCGAGAGTGGCTAACACGAATGACCAGTTTACTCGGTCATAGGCCTTCGCCAAGTCTAGCATAACCACTGCTACTTGCCGTCTCTCCCTGCCCACCACTTCGAGCGCCCCCATGGCTACCATAATACTCTCTGCAATTGAACGTCCCTTGACGAAGACTCCCTGGTCCGCGCCCACTAGTCCTGGGAGGATCCCTGCCAACCGTCTTGTAAGCGCTTTCGCTAAGATCTTGTAGGAGACGTTTAACAATGATATTGGCCTCCAATTCCGAATGCTCGTTTTATCGCCCTTTTTGTACAGCAACGTGATGACCCCTCTGCACATATCCTCCGTGAGTGGGTGCCCTTCGAGGACCCTGTTATAGAGTCTTAGGAGCAGTGGTCATGTCTGCTCCCAAGTCGCCTCGTAGAACTCTGCAGGTAGGCCATCGTCTCCCGGGGACTTGCCTTTTGCCATACTCCTAACTGCCTCCCCCAATTCTTGTAGCGTCAATGGTTGGTCCACGCTTAGCCTTTGTGACACCTCCAGCGACTTGTTTATGTATTGCCACAGATCCACCTCCTCTTTCATGGTTTGCAGTGATTCTCCTGGCTGTCGGCGTGATGTTTATATGTCTTGGTAGTACACCGTGGCATACTCCGCCAGGGACACAATGTCTTCTTGGATGTCTGCGTGGGCATTGAAGGGATGCTGCAAAGCTCAAATCATGGTGTTGTGAGATTTGTACGGGCAGAGTCTGCGGAAGGTCTCTCGTGTCATCCTGTCTAACTGTGACATCCCCCTCTCCTGCGATCTTCTTGCCCAAACCTCCTGTTGCTTAATCTGGATTGCCTCCCATTTACTCATCCATGTGTCCCTTCTTCATTCCCAGTAGATGTCAGAGTACGAATCACTCCCAATTTGCTCTTCCGCTTCCTTCACCATGCGTTGGCACTCCAGTTCCTCGTCTCTACGGTCTTTGGTCAGGATGCGTGAGAAAACGTTCAGGGCACTTGTAACAATCCTAAATCCCATCTGCAACCACTCTTCTTCCGACTCGAACCAAGACTTGGTTCCCTCCCAGTCTTCCCAATGCTGTTTGCACCACTCCAGTACCTCCTTATTCTTCAAATTTTCTGTATTTAGTCTGAAAAAGCCTTTTTCTTTTTGGAGGCTAAAACTCAACTTGAAGGAGACCTTCAGTGGATGGTGGTCTGACAGAGGCTCCAAATCTACTTCCGCGCTGGTTACTGCTTCCCATGACTCCCCTCTTGTCAACACCAGGTCCAACCGTCATCTTGGTGGTTCTCTGTCTTCGTTTCTTTGTGACGAGATCCATGTGAAACCCTCATCCTCGGGTTGACTTGTCTAAATGTGTCCGTGAGACCCTGCGCCTCTATGAATTGCTCTAGCAGAACTGCGTCTGTTCTTCTGTGAGCTTCCGACGGCGAATCCAGGCCGAGGTGCAACACTGAGTTAAAATCTTCAGCCATCACCAAGTTAGCTGCCTCGGGAGTAAAGTTTGGCAGATCTCTAAAAAAATAGCATCGCTCGGCTGGCACGGAGAGGGCGTACACAGACATCAGGGTCCATTCCTAGCCCCCCAGTCTGATCCTGACCCAAACCCACTGGCCTCATATGTTGAAGTCACTTTCCAGTACTTCGGCCTCCAGCTTACGGTGGAGCGGAATAGCTGTTCCACATCAGGTGCCCTCTGTCAGGGACCACCACTGAGGGCCTTTCCACCATTTTGCAAAGCGTTCGATTTTGAGTTCATCCATCTTGGTTTCCTGCAGAAAGATTATCTGCGCCAGGTTCTGGTGGATCCAAGTCTTCAGTCTTGCTTTCTTCTACCTGTCTATGGAGTTCCCCAAACCATGGACGTTCCAGGACGCCATTATCACTCTATCCATTCAAGGCAGATGGTCCGACAGTCGATTGGATCCGACGTTCTTCCCCTATAAACTTGCTGCTCATTTTCCTTCTTCGCCCTTGTGTCTGTCCTTCTTCCTGTTGGCTCTCCCAGGGGGTGTTCAACAGGTTTCTGAAGTAGGGGGTCCATGGCTTCTTGTCCCCTGACAGCGATTTGCAGAAATCTGCGACCAGTGTCGCCTTCACACTGCCCACCAGGTGAATCCTCGCAGCTTCATCTGACGTGTCTGAGTCGAACCACTGGGGCGGTAGCCAGTGGATCCCCTGGCCTTCTAGTGTGTTAGCACACTCCTGTGTGATCTTAATATCCACAAACGTCAGGTGAACCTGCACGCTGGCTTCCCCGATGTCCACCGTTTTCCTCCCCACTCTTATCCCTGAAATCAGCCTTAACGGAAACCGTCTCACTGCGAACTTATCCACTGCTCCGCGTATATGGTCCTTCGTGCCTGGGAAGTTGTCCATATGAACTGCGGGGAGTGCAAATTCCCCCGCCCGTGTCTTGCCCGCCAAAATCTTGATGCCCTGGGGGGCCAGCGATGTGTAGAATAACACCACGTAGTGGTGTCTCTGTCCGTGTTTCGCTTGCTTAGCTCCACCTTTTGCTCCCCCTGCCTGAAACTGAGTTGAAAGTTTCGGTTTTGGTGGTGACAGGATGTTAAAGAAGTCCACTTCTCCTTCTCTGTCTTCTTCTTCCTTCGTGGGTTCGCTAGTTCCTTGCTCACCCAGTCTTCGCGTCTTCACAGGAGCGAGAAGGGATGTTCTGGTACCTGGGTCCCTCATGATTTCGTCCAGTTGGGAGACTGTGAAGGCATTGCCTGCGGTCGTACTCGCCTCTCTGTCCTGGACAATAACGCTTTGTCGGCAACTAACGCATACTCAATTGTAGACTATGCGGCACAATATTATAACAACCTGTTTACATATGAGACGCCCACCGAACACCCAGATGAAGTTCATCAAGCGAGAGAGAATCTTTTACAGGCAGTTCAGTCCTCCATAACACAACAACAAAAGGTCGTCCTGGACGAGCCCATAACCTCACAGGAGGTCTGGGCAACCTTACATAGCATGGAGGATGAGAAGACACCTGGGATCGACTCCTTCCCGAAAGAATTTTTGGTGGGGTTTTGGGACCTCCTTAAGGATGATCTCATGGAATATATAGGAGCGATTCAAAAAATAATTCAAGGATCTTTCGGAGGAATGATTGGGCAGGGGGTTACTACCCTTCTATGCAAGAAAGGGGACAAAAAGAACATCAGAAACTACAGACCTATCACCCTTCTCCCGGTCCCCTACAAACTAGTGGCTAAAGTCCTTACTAACAGATTGTTGCCCTTCATGAAGTTCAACATGTTAATTCACCCGGACCAGACAGGGTTCATGCCCAATCTTAATATCCAAGATAATATCTTGTTGGTTAATGAGACCATCAAATATGCCCGCGAACGGAGAGTCCAGGCTGCGATCTTATTTATAGACTTTGAAAAGGCTTATGACCATGTAGATTGAGACTTCCTTGATATGTATCTGATCAAAATGAATTTGGCTCGACCTTTTGTCAATGGGTACAACTGCTACATAGATCGGCCACGACCAATATAATGCTAAATGAACATCTTTCACCATTGATTCACCTCCAAAGATCGGTGCGTCAGGGGGGTCTCATTGCACCATTGCTATTCGTTATTGTCATGGAGGCCCTTGCATCACTGATAAGAGCACATCCCCTTATCAGCAAAGTGCCCATCCCCAACATACCGCACCACCTCATACAAGTGACATCACTTTTTGCAGACGATCTCACCGTACTAATATGCGCAGACTCGGACAATCTTCAAGCTCTCACCCAAGTTATTCACCTCTTCTCTCTTGCGGCCGACATGAAGGTTAACTGGGATGCCAAGACTGTGGGTTGGTGGCTCCACCCTCAAGGACAGCCACCACCACCCGAACCGACTGTAGCTTGGGCCCGCAAAGAAGACGCCATAAGGATACTAGGAGTGAGATTCACTGCTGTGGGCCCCCCACTTGACCATGGGGATATGTTGGTCAACACGGCATTGGACCGGTTAGCAAATTGGGAAGGTCTGCACACTTCACTGGTGGGACGTCCCCTTGCAATCAATAGTGTCGTCCTAGCGGGTATCTGGTACAAATTGGCAGTGTGGCCCTTGAGCAAACAACAACACATCAGATTGAAGAAAGCCCTCACGACGTACCTATGGAAAAACAGCGCTAAGGCTCAGAGCCGCGTCAATAGGGTGAAGTGGGACATCCTTACACAGCCCAGATCTAAAAGGGGACTGGGAATCCTGGATCTGGAAAGAGAGACTGAGGCACTCATTTTCAAAGTCCTAATCCGAATGCTCATAGGAAATGACATCCCCTGGAAGTCGCTGGCCTGTCTGCAAATAACCAACCTTGCTCCACAAAATGATGCACAAGGAATGGTCCACCCATTCCAGTGGCTCACAAACAATCACTGGACCGTCCCTTCGCCCCCGAAACATATGCACCTTGCGCACCCAGCTGACCCGGTACACGCTGCAAAGCTGGATATAAAGACAGATCCGCTCTGGCCCTACATGATGAAACTCTGGAGACGAAGGGGTCCCCAACAAAGGCATCGGATTCCCCGAACAGGTGGCACGATATATGGAGGCAACCCCTCTTTGGCAACCCACACATCCTACAAGTATCAGGCCAACCCTTCCCTTTGACATCGAACTCCCCCTGGCTCATCTGGGCTAAGAAAGAAGTTTTCATGGTTGGAGACTTGTGGGACCCGGTGAGAGGGGATTGGGCAACCCCCACCCAGCTACAACACAAACTTAAACACATAAAAAATGTGGAAGAAAAGGCTGGCCTGCTTAAAGATGCCCTCCCTATCGCCTGGCAGCTCACCCTACGGGAGGGGCCGACGGTTCAATGTGATGACTGGGTGGTGAGATACTCAGAGTCTCCTGTTCACCTAGTCATATTCAAAGTCAAACAGAATCGCCATGGGACCTGTGGAGTGGAAGCTTACGAACCTCAATTTCCCGGGGCTACACTCACAAAACTGTTAAGAAATGATAACTTAGGCACCACATGTGAATGGGGAGGATTGGTGCAAGTGAGAGTGGTGGGGGACCAAAAAGATGGTTTCTATGCATACGAGTCCAACACACCCATAGCCAAGCTTCCTTTTGATCCGGCGGAGTGGGAATGGGCCCGAATGGCCAGGCTCCAAACCGATGCACATATGGAATTACACAATAAAAGGAGGATACCGAATGTCACGACAAACCCAGCCGATCAGCCAAACGTTAGCGAACAGATGGGCTCGAGACTCGCCACTTGGCCCTAAATTGTCACAGTCTTTCGACCGGTCCAGATATGCGAGGATCATGCCCACAAACCTTAGGTCTCTGCAATGGTAGATCCTCCACCGCTGCCTCCCCACCCCCGATTGGATCGTCTCCAAGACTAACCTGGAACAACAAAGAAAACTATCCCCCATCTGCGCATACTGTGGGAGCACTCGCCCGCTGGTCAGGGCAACCCTCGAACATTGTCTTCTGGCGTGCCCAATGGTCACCCAACTATGGCAATGGTGGGATGCGGCCTTTCACTCCCTCGCTGGGTGTCACATACCCTGGGATCTCGACCTCCTGCTCCTTAGAGTGAACCGCCACCTGTTGCCTAATTGGTCCCCGTTCGCGACCAACATGTTCTCATACACGAGGCTGCATCTCCTCATGCTGGCGTGGAGAGCCAAATGCTCATTTGAAAGAAAGGACCACCAATTTGGTCTGTTGCAGGCGCTACAAGCAATAGAAGAGCTAATCAGGACCAAAACCCAGGAAGCATGGAAGTCCATGAAACGTGATTTCCTTGAGGAAAAAGACCTCCCCACCAAGGAAATCATTCGAGACTCCTACATGCAGACTTGGCAGGACCCTAACAAACTGTTCTCAGAACTTGACACCGCTCTTCATATTACATGGAAACCATGGAGGATAACTGAATCAACTTGGCAGAGAAAACCCTTTAGTGGCTTCCAAGTCCTGTACCTCCAACCCAACTTCGTCCTTCTCCCAAGCCCGGTGCCGCCTGCCCAGTCACCCCCTGCCCCCCCCGTCAGCTCGGTCATACCCGATGCACCCATCCAGCCATCCAGTTCACCGCCCTCACCGCCCCCACTCCCCCCCCTCTCACCTGCGCCACCGCCCGCTCTCACCCTCCCCGACCATTTAACCTGCAGGCTCTGCAGCTACGTGGCCCGCAATGGACTTGATTGACAAGATGACGAAAGTGCGACTGGTGGAGCGACTGGTGGAGTGACAGGACTGACTGGACAACAGGCAACAACAACAGAGAAGCCACCAACACTGTAGCGACAACTCATGTCTTGCTGCAACAGGACAGGAGGAGCAGACATTTAGAATACGTACCGAGCGAAGGTAAGAGATGCCTGTTTCAAATGCTCCCCTGTAGCCGCGGGTGCAAGGATCAGAACGTGGCAAAGCATGGGTCTTGAGAAAGGACACGACTTCGAGGTTTCAGGGGTTTAATGAGATCTCTTAAGAATAGACGTTGTATTTGTAAATATTGGGGGGGCTGCTGGTTATCACTGTGTGAGAGGACACACGCACCACACATAGTACGCCCGGGATAAATGACTCTTGTCCTTCCTCACTGCTTCCCGGTTGTCAAGGGCTTTTAAGGTTCATTACTGCGACAAGCACGAGATTAGAAGAGGGTATAAGGTTTAACGGATACAAAGGGCTTCAGAAACAGGTCTCGAAATGACTACAAAATAAGTGGGTTGCACACACCGAGGATAGGAGTTCAGCCACTAGCAACAGGACGAATGCAGACATAGATGCAAGGCGGACACCATCCTGGGTGGGGCCAGGCCAGCAGGAAGTAGGAGCTTTACAAATTGGGAGGGTAACATACGCAGCCCCGAGAGAAAGAAGGATGCTCTGGAGTAAGAACTTTAATGGCCATATGCCCAACTAACATTGCATTACAAAGATGTATCAAAGGGACGCTGGACCCGATTTCCAGCAGGTGTTGCTCCCCACCAATAGATGAAGCCACACTGTTCTTAAAAAAAAAAAAAAAAAAAAAAAAAACGCTACTTGCAAACCACTTAGGGAAGGTGCGTCACAGACAACAAAAACTCTATCACCCTGCCAGGCCCAGGACCTCGGTAGCGGGGACAGCGGGTGACAGACGATGTTGCCCTTGGCTTCAGCGAACAACAAATGATTCCCTCCCGGGGTTTCCTTACAACCCGCTAAACCACATAAGAAAATAACCCCGCACGTTTCCGCAAAACCTGCACTCCAACCGGGCCAGTAACGTGCGCCAACACCCATACCACCTTCGCATCACGTTGCATTGTATCACGGTGGCCGCACATCACTTCACAAAAAAACAATAATGGAGGAACAACCACTCACCACGCCGTCAAAGACCAGTTCCATGGTCGCTCGACACTACCACCGGATCGAGCCCAACAAAGAAGAGCCCACTGCACTGCAAATTTTTGGCAACACCTTCTGTTATTGCCGCCATGGAAAATTACGGCAGCACGGTCCCACCAGATATGTTATTGTCGTCACACCACTAAACGGACAACACCTCCTCATATACACACAGAAAAAGCGTCGGTGCCGCACCAGAAAATCGCCAGCATAACCCCACGGAAATGGGTATTGCTTGCCTCACAGTTGGTCCCCAATGCAAACTTACGGCCGCAACACTAGCATGTAGGTGGAGCAGCAGCCCCCAACCCTCAACTATGGTTGCCCTGGCCTGGCCTTTTCTAGAGAAACAACACCTTCCCTCAACCTGCAGAGCTCCAGGTCCTCCGTCCAACACTTCTCTACAAACTTCAAACTCCTCCAGCAAAGTTTTCCTTTAGCTTCCTCACAGCGGCATAACATCTGACCAACAGTCAAGTAAATGAGTGTGGACAACACTTCCACTTTGTGAGGCAGTAGGATGAAGAGTTTCTCTTTTATACTTACTGGAGTGAGGTCGGCACCACTCCTGCCGACACGTAAAATGGCGGGCTCAAGCAGAACCCCTGATATGAGGTGAGATCAAGGGCCCAATATGACCGCACCTCAACCACATACTTAAAACGGCAGTTACTTTTAGCTGCCTCCTTTTCATTTTTCTTTTCTTCAAATTTAACTCAACTATCTTAGAATGTCACTAGATAACTGAGAGTGTGGCATTTTCAAAACAATTTTTCTTTTATTTTTTAACTTTTCTTTGAAGAGCTATGGCTCTTCAAAGTTAGATGTCCCCAACACATTTTCTAGTGCAAGCACATTCCAGAAATAGCTTCACTTAGCCGTTTCTGCAGAATGACCCTTTCGGTTTCACTTACCTCACGTGGGTGCACCCAGACAAACTTCGCGGCCACATTCGTGGCTGTTAGCTTTCCCCCAACACCGCAACCTGTTCACTAACGAACAAGTGCAGTAACACTCACACACACACTCAGCATGCACAAGCCACCATAACGGCTGTCTCTTATACACATCTAGATGTGTATAAGAGACAGACATACATGGCCGTTGTTTTTCTCCTCTCCCTTTTTTTTTCCCTTTAGTCTCTTCTCCCCCCCCCCCCCCCCTCTAACCCATCGTTCTCCTGTGAGGGGCAACTCGTCGTTTGTAAAACGAATGGGTGGAACCTCCCCAGTCTTTTCACAGAGCCGATATAGAATAAAGCCCAATGGGGTCTCATTTCCTCCGCGCGATACACCTTCTGCTAGAATGCGGAAAGATGCGTCGCATTTTTCAATGTCGCCTACTCATGGTCACCCTCGTTTTTTTCCTTTTCCGTGGTATGACAATTGTTTCTTGTGAGAGGCAGCTCGTCGTTTGAAAACGAATGGGTGGCACATCCCTAGTCTTTCACAGAGCCGATCTAGAGTCAAGCCCAACAGGGTCTCCTTTCCTCCAAGCGGTGCATCTTCCACTAGGACGTGAAAAAATATGTCGCCATTTTTCATTGTCCCCTCCTCGTGGTCACCCCTGTCTCCGAGTCTTTCCTTTCTCGTGGCATGAAATTATGCAAAAGAATGGCGGTGAAAAAAAAAAAAAAAAAAAAAAAAAAAAAAAAGGTCAAAAGAATTTTTTTTTTTTTTTTAAAGAAAACAAAAACAAACCACTTACTTGGTGAGGAACGACCAATCTACCCGTGGAAACGGCCGCCTAATGCTGCCTATGTAAGCCTAAAGTCCCCTACACCTGTCTATGCACAATATGATGCTTCATTTTTAGTTTTTAGCTATGTTGGGTCGTCGCCCGACCCAACACACCCGAGCCAGTTGGGCAGAGGGGGGGTCGTTGAACAAAACCAGACGGGTCAAAAAAGAGGCAAGGATCCCCAAAACAAAAAGGACTTCAGTCCAGGACTGCGCTTAGCCTAAGTAGTCAGAATCCGGTCTTAACTTCGATTTTGCTAATAGGTCATCCAAAGGGGTTTGGAAGGTATAAAACAGTGACTAAAGGGGTTAAAACGGTACATTTGGACTAATGTTTTCTCATTTATTTCTACCTTAAAATCAACAAGGAATTTTGAGGTGACCCTCAACCAAAATTCGTTTGTATTGCAATTTCAAATAATATTTTTTTTCAGAATTTTTTTTATCTATTTTTTTAATATTATCCGTTGCAATCGTTAAGGACCCTGGCCTGGGCCGCCCAGGAGGGTACCCCGGTGACCATTCCCCAGTTTGGTCGCCTGAGGATTAACACGGGTTTTCAACTTTTTTTAATTTTTTCGTTGGCCGAAGATAACAGTTACCCTAGTCACATGACTTACAACCACAGACTGTTTGAAATGTAGACCCAACTTTGATTCCCAAAGTGAATCGATGACAAATTTTGAACCATTTTTTCATTTACGCGTGTCAACCTCACGCATTGACTTTTTCAACCGCGAGATTTTGAAGATCACGCTGTCGAGCACATCGGTCCCCCACGGGGATCCTCCTGGCCGCGTCACGCAGGACTTTTGCAGGACTTGTCGCGAAGAGCTTTCGTCGCTCCGACCGAGTGCGCCAGCCGTACCTCTCGCGAGCCCCTACGACAGGACAGGGTTACGCGAGGCACCACTTACCTCCACCTGCGGGAGCTGTCACCATCCCTAGGGTGGACGTATCCCCGCCGAGCTACGGAACCACGTGCGAAGGCTTCTCGTATACAATCGCAAAAGTGACCCGGCCAAGGGCGTTTCTCGTTCGTTGTAGCATAGGGGGTACGCGCGGTCGACCCACCTCAATCGGACCGGCACGCGAATTGACGCATTTGGGGGGCTGAGGTGCCAAGCACGACTCGTCGTCGGTCGACTAGGACGCAATCTACTCACCACGCGTTACACCACACGATAAAAAAAATACGCACAAACACAAAATAAACTCTCTTAGTCCCTTCAGTACCCAACCCATAACTTTCCAATGCGGAAATCGGGTAAGCGCCACGCGCGAGACTTAGTATAAGACCTCGTGGACGCCGGGCCTACACATATCAGCTAGAAATGCAATCCTACGCAAGCAGTCGTGATGACGGCGCATTCTGTGGTGCCCATACTCGAGTGGTCCTACATGAGGCATGGGGTCGCTCTCGACGCTCGGACGTCGGTTGAAGCACGCGTTAAGGGGGGTAAACCTTTAGCGAGCGCAAAGACGGCTTGAGGGCCTTACCATCTTCTGCACCCTGAGGTGCCCTAAAGGGTGCGGGGTAAGATGGTCACTAGCCCACCACCAGCGACACGCTACTCCTTCTGCCCAAAACTTTATCGTTCCACCAAAATAAATTTAAAACAAGGAAAAAGAAAAGAAAAAAAACATTAACGTTAACAAAAAAAAACACGAATAAACCATCGGACCTTTACAAAAATTTAAGAGTGGCTTATAGGCCCAGTCCGCCCCAAAAGGTGCGAATGCCCGTTTGGTAGGACAAATCGCCCTAAAGAAGAAAGAGGGACCTGACGATGCGTCACCCTTTCCTTTCGAGTGACCGTATCATAACTTATTCCGTGTCAGGCTTCGAGTGTAGCCCGCGCTCGGAAAGGGATAAGAGGGACGTTCAAGCGAAGAAAAAGACAGATTGCCCAACTATGCGAGTCCTTGCGAACACTCGTCATAGCGATGCCTTATGCGCTACCCACACCCGTCTGGTTCCCTATGGGAATCAATAGTGCGGAAGACACTAAAATGTCGGAGACGAGGTATCATGAATCAAGCCCCCTTCGTAATATTGAGTGGCTGACGGATAAGCCCCTCAACTCTCGCAATGCTTCTGTCTTCTAGGCCGAGTATCATGGTGGGCAATGCAAGTTAGGCTCTGTGCGAGGGGTGATTCCTTCCGTGTCGAGCCTAGGACCTGGGATGTCCTGGACAAGGACCTCGAATCCAGGCCCCGGATCAACGTCCGACTAAGAAATCCTTTAAGAAGTATGCACTAATAAGGGGTTTTTTCCTCTCTTACTCTATCTCGACCTCATTAAGACCTTTAAGTGTGGGCTCCCCAGACCACGCGTATACCCAACATAGGTGTGTACATACATATCGTGGAAAATAAGTGCGTGATGATCACTTCTCACAACCACTGTATAGATCCCTTCAGCTACTATCGCCATGCTAAACAAAGACAATTCAGGTAGTCAAGCAGAAGTTCGTGTGGTATTTAGACGATCACTCTCACATCAGTTGTGTGGCTTGTCCGTCCGCATTCATACAATACTCAGACTATCACCAAGCTCAATTCAGGGGTTTAATAAGCATACCTGCAATCACATAAGATTCAAACAACAACATCACACACCCTACGGGAGTCAACTTTACTGTTTTCTGCGACTCATACACTACCTCATGCACACAAGCCCCAACCAAGTTCAATCATCCCTCAAATAAAGGTACTAAGTCTTTAGAAATGGCCACTTAAAAAGAAGTCGGGGTGAAAATCCCAAGAAAATATAAAAACCCACAGGGGTCGAGGCCTTAGGTTGAGATGGAGGAGCAAGCAAGTTGTGTCGTAAACCGACGAGTCGGCAACTGACCTATTATCAGTGATAACAAAAGATAGTAATATGTAGGATCAGGCTGAACAAGTTGAGCCTTCAATCGAATTCCCAGTCCTGCATCACAGTACAGGCCAAAGAGAGTCACTACTACGTTTGAGCCAAATGGAGAACGTGCTCCATCTCGTAGCCTAGCTCCCCTACTGAGTTTCCCTCTACCTTCCTCTGATTGGTAGCAAATCATTGAAAATTTTGGCAGCACTTCCCCTAGACAGGGAGAATTGTCAAGTCTCTTCTAGTAGAGAAATAATCTAACTCTCCAAAAAAATCCTGCAAAATTTCGGCACCGCTTCCCGTAGGAAAAATGTCTTTTCAGAATTTCTACAAGACAAAAAATGACTAACTCTTTTCAACTTTGTGAAAATTTTGGCAGCGCTTCCCGTAGGAACAGGAGGCTACCAAAATTAATACAAAGCCGAAAATGCAATGACAAAGTTCATCAATACTTGGGACTTATTCCTGACGCTTATTTGGTAGTTAGAACCAGAGATATTTTACATGATCCTCTTTTTGAATCATGAGCTATCGCAAGTCCTAACTCCTAGTAGGGTCAGTCCTACCACATCCCAAGCTTCTCTCCCATCATCCATCTCACCTACCTATAGCTCCAGCACTCAGCGAGCATCTATAGCAACTAAGCTATCAAAAAGATGCCCCAGACGAGTACCCGAAAACATGCATAACCAAACATCTATCTTAGTCCCACTTTAGTTTGATCCAAATAGTTCGTTAATCTCTCAATTATTTTGGCCCTCAGTAGACACCCTTTCCTAGAGGATCAGACCGCCCCAACTTAGGGGTACTCCTGACCCGCCTAAGCAATTGACTAGGGTGCGCACAACTAGACTGCCCCAACTTAGAACGGTGTTTTCGTTAAAAATGAAATGTTTTGTAAAAAGTGAACATAATGAAATTAACAAATTTGTTAGAACAAAAGTAAATTTAACAATAAGAGCAGAGGATTTTAGCATCTTATTGACAAATATTGTATAATCAAGTATTGAAAAAAAAATTGCATATCCGCATCAATACAAGTTTCTTTAGTCAATTATCCATGATTCGATTTTTAAAGAAAGTCGCATATCTGCATCAATACAAGTTTCATGAGTTAACTATTGTATATTATCTCAACCTTTCATAACATGAATACATCCATTCTATCGCAAAATCCAAGAAGTCATATTCAATTTATTATATTAATTATAATACCAAGCTTATACAACATGGACACATATTGCAAAACGTGAGACTAAGTGAGTGTCGGGTCAAGTTGAACTTGACAATATTTCAATCAGTTCGGAATCTGATGTTCCTTGAACTTAAAGGCTTACATGAAAGAACAGAAAAACTTTGCATGTGACCTTAGAAGAAAAATTAAAGATCTGTTAATATTTGACAACAAAGTGCAGCAGACACTCCAAAAACACGTAAAAAAATCCTGCTTAACTACAACAACACAATTAAATGAAAACACGTGCAAAAGTTCAACATTAAAAGCAGTTTGAAAGCAGTGTCACCCATAAACTGTCAAAACACAAACCTTAGTTCGAATCCCGCTGAACTCGGATAACCAAATAACTCTATATTAATGCATGACTGGGCAATTCGAACTTAGATGATGTCTCAAGGCCATTGACCGAGTAAGAGGGGAAAAAAAATTAAATGCAAAACACAAATGACACTCCGAAAATAGGCAAAACAAGTCTGGTAACTAGATCGACTACAGTGATAAACTAATGCGATCAAGACAACATTTCAGTCTGTCCTTGTATAAGTTGTCCAATCTTCTACAACGATGGTATCAGTTTGTCCGTCAAACGCCGGGTCCTTGTACTTTATATAACTTTCTATTACTTCATATTCGCGCAGCAGGAGGCTTCGCAAATATTTGATGGCCGTGTCCACAAGCCCATTCATGAGTGTTTTGAGTGATGGTTGCTCCATGATCCTCCTTCGGAATTCTTGCCGTTGCCATTCATCGATGTTGTCTGCATTGAAAACACTTGCATTTGCAGAATAGTCATTATAAATAAGGAAAGATACTCAGCATCGACTTTGAATAGTTGCCGCTGCACAAAACAAGGTCATCACGTTGAAATTTTTGTGTCAGAATTTGACTGCTGAATAATACAATTCCGAAAAGGGTGCGAGCACTTCTCCCGGGAATGTTCTCGTTCCACAACACCTCCGACCATAAATACACAGTGACTCTCGAGGAGAATGTTCCCAGTCTTCTGGTGGGGCATCCACACCTCTAACACTAAGTACTGCACTGTCAAAGATCACTTCAGATGTGAAGAAAACTGGACTCATATCATGCCATATATTTCTTCCCCACACCATGTTACTTGGCGGCCATCCAGTCATCACAAATGGTTGAACCATTCTGCAACACATGAAAATACAGTTTAAATATATATAAATGAAAGTTCAATGACAACTAAATAGCGTATTAATACGTGTAAAGAAATACGATTAGCTCTTCTTCAAAACCTATTGAAAACCTACTGATCTTCATTATCGGGAAGTGAAAGACATACCAAGACCTTCTTTCTGGCCGATTTTGGAATGTGCACTCCATTTTCTAAATGCAATGTCTTTGATGTCCAGCTCCACACAACACAGTCTACATGCTGTCACTGTTGTGATGTTGTGTTGTCTTTCTTCCACGTCTTCTTCCATGCGTTCGAATATTGCACAGAAAGACGTTTATCAATAGGTTGTGGCACCCAATATTCAATAAGAATATGATTGAAAGTTGACGACTTCATATCGTTGTCTACATCGGAAATGACTTTACCCATCCATACAGGAACTCCCTCATCGATATCATCTTGGGAAGGACGCAAGAGAACGAATTGACCTTTTTCGATATCCACAACTAGGTTGAGTTCCGCCTTTGGACGCTCATTGGCCGGTCCAACGAACAACGACTCCTTATTCTCATTGCTCTTCAAGAGGAAGGCAATATCGATATCATCTGGATCATCCTTCTTAATTTTGTCTTGTGAGGGCCAGAATTCAGCCTTGAGTGAAGTTTTCGCAAACCCAGACCCGTAATGCTCCTCGACTGTCTCGAGGAAAGTTTTCCAGTGTGAAAGAGCACTCTCCTTTGAGAAGCTAACCTCATCTTTCATTCCCAACCACTCGTGCCGCTTGTTCTCCAACCACCCAACAAACGTCTTCACACCTTCAATTCCCGATTCGAAATCTGAATTCCTATCTTTAGTAGGCAGAGAAGCTGATGGCGGAACAGGTGATGGCACAAATGGTAATTCGGGTCCAGCATATGCTTTGTTTTCATCTCGTTTAAAGCAATAGACTGGAGCAGACCATACAGGAGAAGTGCAATACTATTTCCGCCGGAACACAGGATTGTCATCCTGCATATAAAACCTAAATGCATGTGGACGAGTATGACCGGTCAGTCTCTTGACCAGGAAGGGCTTAACAGCAGCTCGCCAATCAGCAATTTCATCCATGAATGTGCACGATGGACGTTCTTTTTGAGAACTGGCTACGAGCTTGAAGAGGTCGAGCATGGTATATGCATCGTGCATTTTCAGTTTGCGAGAGAAATGACTGAAAGTGGCATCAACGTCCGTATGTGTGGGTCCCACTAACATAAAACCGAATTCGACTTCTTTGAAGAAGCCAAATTTCACCAAAGCTGCAGCGAGTGCCAAAACATATCTGTTTTTGTTTGCTCTCCAACAATTGTCAGCTTGTATCCTCAGTTTAGGAGGCAAGTCACTCGTCGCCTGGATGTCGCGGAGAACTTTCATAATGGATGACACTACAGCATTAGAATCATGTGGATAGCAAGGGTACCATGTGTGAACATGGACCGATGGTGACCGGCCGTGTGCAATAATAACTGTCAGATTCGTTTTCAATATTGGAATATTTGCGAATACCTTCGATTTGTTCTCTCCGCCAAAGTGTGGAATGTTGGTCTTGCTTTGGTCCATGCCGTCAATGATGATGCACAAACTGTTGGAACCCGCTCTCTTCGACTCATCCTTCCACACCTCATACGCAGCACGATGTTGGAGCTGCAAGTCCAAGTGTTTCTCTCGTAATGAAACAAAGTACTCACGCACACGCACGAACTTTGCGGAATTGATAGATTCTTTGTATTCAACACATTTCTCGCATTTCGCAAAGTTTTGATCAATGTCATGGAATTTCACATGCCAGAACTGCGTTCTACACATATTGTAAAAAACTTGGAGAGAAACACAAGGAGCACCTATGTTGTCGAATTGCGACTTTAACAACTTATAAATATCAACCTTGTTATAACAAGCAGGCAATCTCAACACCATTCTTGATTCCCACTCTTTGATCTTCATGTCATTGGGCATGGAATCTCCGTTGTCTCGCACGAAGGAGCTTAGTTTCTCGTACATCGTCGCATATGTTGCTGATGTGCGTCTGAGTCCAGTACTGCCATGCTCCAGCATATTGTAGCCTTTTGACAAAGTCATCCTTTTTTTGAGAAATGTATTCCTACATACACCTAGTGTGAAACACCAAGCACTAATGCACACCTTTCGTCTCCCCACAATAGGTTGAACAAGCTTCTTTTCATTTTCTATGAAGGTGAACCTCTTCAACGTTTCAACCCACCACGCATCCCTGCTCTGCTGGTTCTTAGAGTAGTATGCGCTCCGGACAAATTTGATGTCGTCCAGGGTCATTTGAGCGCAACACTCTCGCTTACAGCAAATCTACCCACACACACTGACCAATGCTTTTTTGGTGAGTTTTCTATGAACTGATTGCAGAATCTTCTTTGATCGCGGCATTCTGAGACGAAAAGTATAAGGACGTTTCTCTGAGGACAGACATTTTGGAAAAATGTCATCGAAATCAGAGATCACGTCACAATTCTCATCGTCATTTCGACAACAGTGGTCACTGTTCCGGTCAGCGTACGTCTGCGGAAGATCGGTTTTATCTGGAGAACTATCAGCACTAGACGACACCGAAACACTTGAATCTGAACCACCTTCATCACCCTCACCAAACAGAAGACCTGCGTACTCGAAATCTCGAAGTGAACTCCTCGGCACTCATACAACACGATCTACATCGGATGCGTCATTGTCAGTAGAGGAGGCTTTGCCCTCCTGACCTTCAACACTCTCTGCATCACAGGTTCGAACCGGGCATCGAAGGACGGGATATGCACTTTCACATGTAGTGTCCGCACACGCAATATTTCGTGACCTCTTACGAGCAGGAGATTCCGGAGCATTATCGACATGTTCGTGACCACTTCGAACATCTTGTGAACACATTGGCAGGKGCGGTGGAGGAAAATCCTCATTGAGCATTGTATTAGACGCCACACAGTCCATGCTTTCCAAGGTTGTGCTGCAAGCCTGCCGTGGCATAGCATGCACACCACAAGCCATGCACGAGACATGTCTGCAACAACAAAACAGCGGACCACTGTCAAAAGGCGAAAATCAGAGGTCAATGAAATGAAGCAGACAACCATCCCTACACAACAGTGAGAAACACAGCCCTACAAATGACCCTGAGAAACACAGCCCTACACTGGACAGAGGGGAACAGGAAACATCTGAGAGAGGATAACACACGACCGTGGAATCTGGGCAGCAATCCTGTCATCAGGCCCAATCCGTGCCAAAGGCGCAATACACGCGAAAGAGTCTGTCCAAACCGGAGATCGAACGACAGTGGGAGGCGTAGCACATGTCGAGTCGGGGAACCAGCAACCGGAAACACAGCGTGCAATAGCATTGAAAAGACGGAGATCTTGACGCGCAATAGGAAACGCAGCACATGTCACGTCGGGCACCAGCTTCAGAAAGGCAGAAACCATGGCGCGCAAAACCCAGCGGGCACCAACAGCGGTGGCGCGCAGCACACAACTTGGCACGAGGGCATTGATAGGAAATATTCTATATTACTCCAGGAACTACAGCGATTGGACACGCGTGGTAATCACCACCCACGCAGAGCGGGCAGGAAAACTGCCACGAGTGAGCAGGAATACCATCGTGGCAACTCGACCGTACCATCGTGGCAAAGCGACCGCC